GGACACATGGGTTCTAAAATTTATATTCTGCATTATAGCTAAGGAACTATGTAACCAAATCCCTGTAATCTAAGAGGAAGATGCTGACAACCCTTAGCCCAGAGAGCTGAAAGTTTGTGCATCTAGGCGTTTGGAACTTTATTTTTTGAGACAGACTCTCACTCTGTCACCCAGGCTGAAGTGCAGTGGCACAATCTCAGCTCACTGCAACCTCTACTTACTGGCTTCAAGCAATTCTTGGGTCTCAGCCTCCTGAGTAGCTGGGACTACAGACATGCACCAACACACCCAGCTAATTTTTTGTATTTTTAGTAGAAACAGGGTTTCACCATGTTGGTCAGGCTGGTCTTGAACCCCTGACTTCAAGTGATCCAGCTGCCTCAGCCTCCCAAAGTGCTGGATTACAGGCACAAGCCACCACACCTGGCCTCGGTGTTTGGAATTTTAAACACTGCCACCTCCATCCTCTGGTTCTTGCTGTCCAACCCCTAACCAAGAGTAAAGGGTGGAATGGCTCACAGAAATCACGAGTCTGAGATCTCTGCTCCTGCCTCCAGGGCATAACAAGCCAGGCTGTTCTTTCCCAGGTTCTGTCAAAGTATAGCGTAGGCAAAGCACCTAGCAGTGTCTGTCAAGTAAGCACCCAAGTTAATAAATGATGAATCAATCATGTTTGCACAAGTAATCATCATTTATTAAGGTGGGGGTAAGCCAGGCACCGTGGCTCACGCCTGTAATCCCAGCACTTTGGGAGGCTGAGGTGGGAGGATTATGAGGTCAAGAAATCAAGACTATCCTGGCCAACATGGTGAAACCCTGTCTCTACTGAAAATACAAAAAATTAGCCAGGCATTGTGGTGTGCACCTGAAGTCCCAGCTACTCAAGAGGCTGAGGCAGGAGAATCGCTTAAACCTGGGAAGCAGAGGTTGCAGTGAGCCGAGATGGAACAACTGCATTCCAGCCTGGACGACAGAGTAAGACTGTCTCCCAAAAAAAAACTACTGAATCTGATGATTGTAAGTTACCACTGAGGAAGAAGAAAATTCAGTACCATCTCAAAAATTATAATTCATATTAAAAGTCTGATTTTTCTTTACTTTTTCACAAAACGGCGAATGTAGTTTTCAAAAGATGTAAAAAAAAATTCTGCTTTAAATAAGCATTTTAAAATCTAAGGAAAGACTACAAAGCAGCATAACAGGTTTTCTGTCACTTGTAAACTGGATTAGAAGGCAATCTGCAGAATTCCAGAACGGTTGTGGAGATATGATGATTTTAATTTACAATCTGGAAAAACTTAATTCAACAAGGAGTCAAAAGATCTGAGTTCTAGTTGCCAGCTTGCATGGTACAATCTTGAGTAAGTCTCTCAACTTCTAGGTATCAGAAGCTCCGCCCACAGAATGAAAGGTGTTAAATCAGGTCATCTTGAATACTCTTTCCAGCTCTTGTTATTTTATAGTGCCATGAAATCAGAGTAACATGTTCCAGGCTGTTTGGGGTTAGGGATTTCAGAACCTGTATTCAATGTATAGCACTTTTAAAATTTCTACTTTTTGAAGTCTTATTTGAATATATATATTACTCTCTGCATGCTCTTCTGTGGATATAGTATATGTTTCTATTTAACAGCCTTTTTACCGTTAGCAATAAAAAAGTTTCTCAAGGATGTATTTTTCATTTCTTTTTTTTTTTTTTTTTTTTTGAGAGGGAGTTCACTCTTGTTGCCCAGGATGGAGTGCAATGGCATGACCTCAGCTTGCTACAACTCCTGGGTTCAAGCAATTCTCCTGCTTCAGTCTCGCGAGTAGCTGGGATTACAGGCATGCACCATCACACACAGCTAATTTTGTATTTTTAGTAGAGACAGGGTTTCACCTTGTTGGTCAGGCTGATCTTAAACTCCTGACCTCAGGTGATCTGCCTGCTCAGCCTCCCTAAGTGCTGGGACTGCAGGCATGAGCCACCACACCTGGCCTCATTTCTTGCTCTTATGTTTTTTTTGCTTCCTTTTTTAATTTCTCCAAGATCTCTTCTGGAGTTGTAGAGGCCAAAAGCTTCACCACCTTTTCACGAGATTTCCCACCCTGGACCAAAAGAGAAGAAATATGCTTTACTGTTTAGCACACTCTAATGCCATTAGGAGACAGCAGACCTCAGTTGTACGATGGGCTTTCCTGATAGCTTAGGTACCATTTTCTCTTGGTTACTTTTGGTCTAACCAAAGACTATCTCTTAAGATTCCACCTTACTAGCATTTGTCACTAAACATTTGTTAGTACTAACAACTCTCCAGGGTTTTTATCTTCATACATCAATTTCTATAATAAAAGCTGGACATTAAAATCTCAAAGATGAATGTGGAATCTTTTTTTTTTTTTTTTTTTTGAGACAGAGTCTCGCTCTGTTGCCCAGTCTGGAGTGCAGTGGCATGATTTTGGCTCACTGCAACCTCTGCCTCCTGGGTTCAAGTGATTTTCCTGCCTCAGCCTCCTGAGTAGCTGGAACTACAGGCTTACGCCACCATGCCAGGCCAATTTTTTATATTTTTAGTAGAGATGGAGTTTCACTGTGTTAGCCAGAATGGTCTCGATCTCCTGACCTCATGATCCACCAGCCTTGACCTCCCAAAGTGCTGGGATCACAGGTGCAAGCCACCACGCCTTGCCGGAATCTTTATAATATTCTAGTCTTAAGCAATTCTTTAAATTAAAAATGAAAATCATCTTGGCTGGGCACAGTGACTCACGCCTGTAATCCCAACACTTTAGGAGGCCAAGGCAGGCAGATCACCTGAGGTCGGGAGTTTGAGACCAGCCTGACCAACATGAAGAAACTCCATCTGTACTGAAAATACAAAATTAGCAGGGCATGGTGGTGCATGCCTGTAATCCCAGCTACTTGGGAGGCTGAGGCAGGAGAATCGATTGAACCCTGGAGGCAGAGAATGTGATGAGCTGAGATCATGCCACTGCACTCCAGCGTGGGCAACAAGAGTGAAACTTCGTCTCAAAAAAAAAAAAAAAGAAAAGAATCTTTAAAATACCAAAATACATATTGCAATTTTATATAAACTTTGTAATAAAACAATTATAAACAAATTGCTGTTCTCTATGTTGTTAAACATTTCTGAAAATTCCAAACAAAAAGCAGCCACATATCCAAGTGCCATGATTTCACAATCACTTAAAACAACTTTAAAAAAGGATTTGTTTTCAAACACATCTTTTAAAGAAGATAAAATTTGAGAAGGGATTTATTTACATGGGTAGAATTTGCACAGGCAGACGAGTGGTGAACACCCTTCAGGCAAATGTCACAGCAGGAGCACCAGCCAAAAATCAGAAATTACTTGCCACAGGTGGGACATTCAAATGGATTTTTAGGTGTAGTCTGTTAATCAATGACTTTGAATGCCAGCTCGAACCCAGATAGGAGCAATATAGTATAGCATTGGAAAAGAAGTAGAGCTTTAAGAAATATAAACATGGCTGCACCCTATTCCTGAAGATTCTATTTCAAGAAGCCTAGAGTAAGACTCAGGGATCTGTATTTAGAAATCATTCCCAGGTGATTTTGATATCCACCCCTAGTGCAAAACCGTATTAATGACATCATACAAGCCTTCTACCTTCCCAATGAGCTTCTTCTAGTGAGCAAGGGCAGAGTAGGGGACCAGCAGTACATGACAGAGTCACTCATGGAGATGACTAACAATAGGAAATGCTTTAGATTGTTTAGTGTGGTGATGGCTTGAAGGATGAGAGAGGTAAGCAAGATTAATCTGATAGCAGGTTCAGGAATGAATTCAGAAAGAAGAAAATGCTGGCAATGCTGGCAGTGAAGACGCATAAGCATACAGTGTGGACAGTCTCAGTAAGGATTAAGGCAGCAGGCATGAAGGAGACTAAATAGGAAGAATTTACAGATTTCTGTGATTAAATAAATTTAAAAGTTATAAACAACTAGTTCCCCAATTATTTGAAAAAGACAAAAAAACCCTCAGTATTTTATGAATCATTATTGATGTGTAATAATTAAAGATGGCTGGGCATGGTGGTTCACGCCTGTAATCCCAGCACTTTGGGAGGTTGAGGTGGGCAGATCAGTTGAGGTCAAGAGTTCGAGACCAGCCCAGCCAACATGCTGAAACCCCATCGCTACTAAAAATACAAAAATTAGCTGGATGTGGTGGGGGGCACCTGTAATCCCAGCTACTCAGGGGGTTGAGGCAGAGGAATCGCTTGAACCCAAGAGGAGGAGGTTGCAGTGACTCGAGATCATGCCAATGCATTCCAGACTGGTCAACAGAGTGAGACTCTGTCTCAAAAAATAAAACAAGGCCAGGTGCAGTGGCTCACGCCTGTAATCCCAACACTTTGGGAGGCCAAGGTAGGTGGATCACCTGAGGTCAGGCCAGTCTGACAAACATGTTGAAACCCTGCCTCTATTAAAAATATAAAAATTAGCTAGGCCTGGTGGTGGGTGCCTGTAATCCCAGCTACTGGGGAGGCTGAAGCAGGAGAAGTACTTGAACCTAGTAGGCAGAGGTAGCAGTGAGCCGAGATTACACCACTGCACTACAGCGAGACTCCGTCTCAAAAAAAAGAAAGAAAATAAAACAATCAAAGATGTTTAAAAAGTCAGGAGTCCTGTGTGCCTCGCCTTCACCCTTGCCCAAAGCTGAGAGACCACCAGGCACAGTGGCTCATGCCTGTACTCTCAGAACTTTGGGGGGCTGAGACAGGTGGATCACTTGAAGTCAATAGTTTGATCCCAGCTTGGCTAACATGGTAAAACCTCGTTTCTACTAAAAATACAAAAATTAGCCATGCGTGGTGGCGTGAGCCTATGATCCCAGCTACTCAGGAAGCTGAGGCAGGAGAATAGCTTGAACCTTGGAGGTAGAGGTTGCAGTGAGCTGAGATTGTGCCACTGCACTCCAGCCTGGGTGACAGAGCAAGATTTTATTTCAAAAAAGAGAGCGAGAGAGACCTACCTTATCTAAAACCACATCACTCTTCCTGAGTTCTAGGACCTTGGAAAGATACCGACAGAGCTCAGCGTTAGCCTCTCCCTCTGATGGCGGTGCTGCAATAGCTACATTTACGGCTTCTGCTGTCAAATCTGGAATGAAAACAGGGTGGACTTTATCCTTAAGAAGTTATTTTTCTTCATGAAGTGAGGACATTTTGTAAAAGAGTTTGCATTTATTTGCCTGACACATAGATTTTCAATTAATAACTATTGAATAAAGAAATGAATGATTAAACTAATCACATTTAAGGGAACATGAACATGATAAAAATGGCCCTACCGTTACGGGAAATAAACCCAAAGATGAAAACTGGTATGTACCCAATCTTGCTGACCAAGATGGGCTTACAGAGCCCTGGGGAGTATCCTGCCACTGGAAATTGCCCTTGGTGTGTTAAGAGCCCCAGGCAGGGAGTCAGAGATGGCCTTCAGCCTCATTAATGTCACTAAGGAAATGCAGGGACAGGGTAGCTTATTAGATTGCATGGGGTTGTGCAGAGTGTCCTCATCAGGAAAATGAGAGCCCTAGACTAAGTTCACCTCTTACGTGACATTTATCTTGAAGGTTCTAAAAATTTAATAATGTTTACTTAACAAATATTTACATAGCACTTACTATACACTAATTTTAATCACACACAAACGTGTTAAAGGCTTTACAAATATTAATTCTTTAATGCTTATAAAGACTTAATGAAGATATTAGTACCAATATTACCTCTATTTTACAAATGAGCCATGGCAACCAGACTCCCATTTTAGATGTAATGAAACATAATACTACAACAGTAGACAGTGTCCATACCCACTACTTAGAAAATGCTGGCCAAGGAGAATATGACCAAGTTAACTTGATCATCAGCATAAACCAGGCCTAGCATGCCAATTTTGTGGTCTTCCTTTCAAAATCTAAACATAATTTGGAATACAGAGCTTTAGAGGTGAAAAAGACCTTCAAAATAATTCAGAGCAATGGTTTTTGAACTTTTTTCTCCTTGAGAATCCCTTTCCCCCAATTTTCTCTAGAATCCCAATATTTAAAACAAACGTAAACACAGCTAGTCAAGAGTCCTGTGTGCCTGGCCTCCCCTTTGCCCAAAGCTGATTCCCGAGGCACCTCCAGCACTCCACAGAATAGCTTGAAAGCCTCTAACTTAGTCCAGCGATCTCATCTGACAGATGAAAAAACTGGGCAATGAATGTTTTATACTGTTTTATTTAAAACAAGTTCACATGGGAACTGATCACTGGTCTCAGATCTCAAGTTTCCTCCCTCTCCTTAGGCCACTGATCATTAGACTACACTAAAATGTCTCTTCTTTCTCTGGCCAATGTCTCCAGTTTTGAAACAAGACAAACTAAAAATCTAGGCTATACATAGGTTTCTGTATCTGTCCTTTCTAAATATCGTATTTTAAAAAAGAAAATTATACAATGGTTTTGTGTAACTTGGCATGATTTAAAGATAAATTCACTTTCAGGCACCTTTATATTAGAAACTAGAGTTTTAAAACGGAGAAGCTTCTAACTGCAGATGTGACAAATCAACAGTCACAGGATAAGCTTTCAGTTAGCCAAAGCAAAGGGAGGCTGGAAAAGACACCTGATTCACACTTAAATCCCACCCCAGCGTCCAGGCATACCTGTTACAGCATTTTGTTTCGAGCCAGGTTTGGCATGGATGGCTATGGTGACACAGCCTTTAGGATCAACTGCCACAGGACCTAAGGGCGGAAGAGGTCTCTCTGGTTCTTTGCTCTGGCTTTTACCCTGAAATGACAACCACACAACTTTACAGGTTACAAAACATTTTCCCACACATTTAATTTGATCCTTCCACTGCCCCCTTTCACCCTTAACAAACTAGGCTAATCAGTGGTGTCCAGGGACTTCTGGCCACCTAGGATGCTTTTCCCACGAACTTCATTAATCAATTCTCCCATGAACCATTCCCATCAACCCAACAGTGCTTTTCCCTCCCCTGCAAGAAAACCTAACTCTGGCTTCTAAACCTTAATGCTTGTTCCTCCCTAGCGGACAATTCCTCCTGGGCAGGGACCATTTATTATTCATCATGGTATCTCATGCAGTCGGAGCTAATACATGTTGGTGAAAGTGTGTATGTGTGCGTGTTGGGGAAGAGGGAGAAAAAAAAAAACAAAAACAGTAGGGCTTCATATTTAAAGGCCTGTTATGGGACAGGGGCTGTGCTAGGAACTTTCATTCAACAAATATGTAGGCAATGGATATGTATATAAGGATACAAGGTCCTTGCTCTCAAGGAGCTCCGACTACTGCGAGGGAGAAAAGAACACACAAAATCATAGTAACACTGTGCTAAGTGCACCCATGAGATACACACGGGGCATTACCGCCCGGGCAGCTCGGCACTGGGGCACTGGAGGATCCTGCCAGCAGTGGCAGGAAGCAGTGCTGGAGCTGAGTCTGAGAAACGGACTGCGGTTGGCCAGGCAAAGACGGTGGAAATGGGAGTGGTGTATTCTTGACAGAAGGGCTGCGATCAGCCAAGGTAAGGGAGGAGAACGCAGAACAGAGCCTCCCGGGGAAGCGCAGGCGTCACGCCGCTGCTGGAACGTGAAGCGCTGGCCTGGGAGTGCAGGGAGGCCAGAGAGGTCACAGAGGTCAGCACACGCAGCCCTGGGAGAGCTCGGCTGCCGCCGGGCCCAGCGCTCGGGCGTCACCGGGTGGACGGCGGCGCAGCCTACTGAGGCGGGGTGACTGCAGCAGGAGCCGCAGCTCTGGGGGTGGCGGCGGCTGTCCTGGGCCCCGGAACTGAGAGAGGGCAAACTGCCGGCGGTGCCTCCACCCACACCCGGGCCCCGCTTCTCCCGCGCTCCTAAACAAGGAGCCCTGCGGCCCACCCCTCTGCTGCCACGGGACCTGCCACTGGCCTTGGTCGTCGCACCAGCCTTCTTAGGCATCTCGGCGGCAAGAGGAAGCCGAGCGGAACCCCAAGTACTGGGTTCTGCACCGACCTTCCTCAGCCCTCGGTAGAGCCGCAGCATCCCTGTCCGGGGAGGCGCCGGAAGAGCCCTCTGCACCTGCGCAGGTAGCGGGCAGGAGCGGCCCCAGCGCGCCGCGCATCCGCTTTGGCCCGAGGGCGACACCTTACGGCCGGCGGGAGCGAGTGTCCTGCCCTCAGAACATGCGCGAGCCTCTTTTGTTCTGGAAAGGGCCCCAGGAGGTGGAGCTGGGGAGCTGGGGAGCTGGGGCCCCGCCGTGTCATGGCCCACCCTCCTTAGCTGATGGGAAGGTGTGTCACTTCTGATCTCCTCTTTCCTAATCGGGGAAAGAAAGGTATTGTCACTTCTCAGAATTGGAGAGCGCGGTGAGGAGTGCACAGGGCCAGGTGTCTTCTCGCTCCTGCAGCAGCCAAGCAGCAGGTGCAAAGCCCCACGCTGCTGCCTGTGGCCAGCAAGTCTATATAGAGCCTCGTGCCCTTGTGAATCTTCCACGTATCGATAGCGCACCTACCTTGTGCCAGGCGCAGCGGATCCCACAATGTAAAAGAGGAAATGCACTGCCACATGTGATATGGCGAGGCATGAAACAAATCAACAGAAGCAAGATCATGGAGTCACTGAAGGCTTTGAAGCAAGGGATTGGGAGCCCAATTTGTTGTTTTAGAAAGACATCAACTGCACTGTGGCTGACAGAGGAAAAGGCAGAGATAGGGAGATCCGCCCCCTAAATGGGAGACGGTGGCCTGAACTAAAGTAACTGCAGCGAGGATGGAGCGCTGATCATTTCAAGGATCTTCAGAAAGTGGAATGATCAGAACTTGGGAATGACGGGATATGCGAATAAGAGGGAAGAGTCAAGGAAATGCCCAGGTTTGGGGCCCAAGGAACAGGTTTGGGAGTCCGAGGTGAGGAGTTCAGCTTTGGACATAATGAGTTTGAGATGACCACCGGACATCCAAGTACAAATATCAAAGGGGTAACTACATATATGTAACTGAAGTTTGCAAAATCAAGGCTGGCAATAGAGATTCTGGAATCTTCTGAAAAATACATGGCAATTTAAGCTATGGAAATGGATGAGAGAAAGGCTGAGAAAGTGTGTGCAGAGCACGAGGGCCGGGATAGAACAGCAAGAGCAGGTAGAGAAGTCAACAAAGGACGTTGTCCAGGTAGCAGTACGGTGTGATGGCAGCTAAGGAAGGGTGCTTCGAGAGGGAATATCAACAGTGATGAATGCTCCAGAGAGAACGTGTCACATGTAATGACTGAGAAGTGACCGCAAGACTTAGAAATCTGGGCGGTGTTGGTGACCCAGGCTGGAGCAGTTTCATTGGAGAGAAGGAAATGGAGATAAGTGTAGAGAATAATCCAGTGACTTTACTGTGAAGGAGCAATTGGCATCTGGAGGGGCACATGACGTTCAGAGACTTGTATTTTTACCATATTTGAAGGTTGGTAGGAAAGAGCCAGGAGAGGAGAGGTTACAGCAGAGGGCGGTTCCTGAAGAGGTGGGGTCAGCTCAAGCAGAGCCTGACTGCACTACAGGAGACTGTAGACACTTCTCCCTTCCTAAGGAGAAGCTTAAGTGGACATGTAGGTGCGTTTATAGGTTTGCTGATGGGAGCTGGAATTTCTTTCATTAACTAAGGTTGGAGAAGGTGTTGAAGGTGTGAGCAAAGTGGAACAGCTTTGCATTGGGACTCTGGAGAATGGCAAAGGGCTGACTTTTGCAACTCACTCTGTAGTACTGACAGTTAAAGGAAACCATGAAATCATCATGATCCCAATCTATAGTTACATTATTTATTTATTTTTGAGACAGAGTCAGAGGGATGGGAAGAACCTGTCGCCCAGGCTGGAGTGCAGTACTGGTATCTCTGCTCACTGCAACCTCCGCTTCCCGGGTTCAAGCAATTCTCCCTGCCTCAGTTTCCAGAGTAGCTGGGATTACAGGTGCGTGCCACCACACCCATTTTATTTATTTTTTTGTATTTTTAGTAGAGACAGGGTTTCACCCTGTTGCCCAGGCTGGTCTCAAATTCCTGAGCTCTGGCAATCGGCTCACTTCCCCAAAGTGTTAGGATTACAATCATGAGCCAGCGCCCGGCCTATAGTTTGATTCTTTCAAATGCCTAGATTCAACAGCTACAAGTTTTTTGTTTTTTAAATTTAAATTTCTTTTTTCTTTTTTGGTCCCAGTGTTACTACCAAAGCAGTCAGAACTGGATTCATTCAGCTATATACAAGTGGATTGAGGTTCATTGATGAAATGGTTAAAGTGATTAAAGACTAAAGATGGAGAGGGGTTGAGGGAGATCAAAGATAGAGCCTAACTGGGTAGAGAAGGAAGAAAAGAACAGAGGTCAAGAGTAACTGGAATGTGAGTGACTGCTTGAAGAAACACCAAAGGTTGTGGCCAGAGAGTGGGATGTCTGAATTTACTATTTCAGATGTACGGCAATTCCACATCATGAAAGGCTATACAGTGTGGCCACGAGAAGGAATGGTGAAGGTTGCTGGAGGTAAAGAAGAAACTGGAAGCCTAAGTGTAGCTGGGTTGTCCACATGGCCACTGAGGCCATACAGTACAAAGGCTTGAGCAGAAGCAAGTGAGCCAGGTGTTAAACCAAAACCACATTTCCCTTCTTTGAAATCAGTGAAGAATTAAGGCACAAAAGCTGAACCAGCATTATATAGCAGTCATTTATAGAATCTGCTTTGGGTGAAGTCACAGCAGCCTCAGAGGTTTGGCAGTTGTCAAGGAAATAAAGGGGACATTTGTAACGGTGTTACGATGGCATCTGGCAAGTGGCCAGATGGGCGAGGAGAGAGTGGAGAGGTGCCCTGCAGCAAACCATGCGGCCTTTCCCACACGTGACTTGGGAGTAGGGGAATGAGGACTTCATTGTGCCAATGGGGAGGAGAAAAGCCATCTGCCCCACGTGCCACCAAACTGTGCACCTGACTGGTTTGTCCTGCCCACATCCCTGTCTCTGGGAGAGAGGCAGAGTGCGAAGACGTACTGCCTAACAGTGAGGGAAAACACAGAGGCTAAGATTCAAATGGCAGGAAACCCCTTGTAAATGTTTGTGGTGGTTCGCATATTATTTTATTTGAGACAGGATCTCACTACGTTGCTCAGGCTGGTCTCAAGCTCTTGGATTCAAGCAATGCTCCTGCCTCAGCTTCCTCAGCAGCTGTGTAACTACAGGCCTCATTTTATCTTCAGTTTTATATAGAGTTCCATTTAAAAACCTGCAATGGAGAAACAGGAAAAGTGGTTTTTAAAAGCACACAAACTAGGTGTATGTGAATAAATACATGGTGTAGCTCGGGCTGGTTGTTAGGGCTGGGACTGTGATGGTACCACCCTTCTTGTGAAGGATGTTTTTTTCTAATTCGGGGACAATTCCAGGTCTTGAATCTGGATGACTAGAAGAAGGAAGTAGAAAGTGGTTTGAAGAAGTACTAAAAAGTGGGACAATGTTTTAAATACATTACACGTAACATATCACATTGAAGACCTTGCTTTCTCTAATGTCTTACGAGCTTATCTATTCCAAGTTAAAAATAATTTTAAAAACACTGATAATGCAAGTAATCTCAATTTGTTGGGCAGATACTGGAATGTCACACTTTCTTAAAATATAAAGTATATTCTACAGTAAATACAGATTAGTCAAGCATATTTTTGGGTCTTACTGCAGAGTTTGAGAATGGTGACATAAATACTATTTTTGGACCCAGCAAAATATTTTCTCAACTCTGTAGTGTGGGAAATGTCAATGGGTTTAAACTCCACTTCCCACCACTTACTGAACTTTTTTTTTCCCCTCCCCAAGACAGGGTCTTGCTTTATCGCCCAGGCTGGAGTGCAGTGGTGCTATCATAACTCACTGTAATCTTGGACCCCTGGGCTCAAGCAATCCTCCCCTCAACCTCCCAAGCAGCTACAACTACAGGCACGTGCCACCACAACTTAGCTATATTTTCTTGTTTTTCAGAGACAGGGTCTCACTATGTTGCCTAGGCTGGTCTTGAACTCCTGGCCTCAAGTGATCCTTCTGCCTCAGCCTCTCAAAGTGCTGGAATTACAGGTGTGAGCCACCGTGCCCAGCCGGCTTTTTCTTTGCCCGTGAAATGGGTATTGTAACAGTACTTACCTCATATCAATGCTGTGAGAAACTAGTAAGAATGTCAAAAGGTAGGCTGGGTGCGGTGGCTCGCGCCTGTAATCCCAACACTTTGGAAGGCCAAGGTGGGCAGATCACGCGGTCAGGAGATTGAGACCATCCTGGCCAACACAGTGAAACCCCGTCCCTACTAAAATACAAAAAATAAAATAAAATAAAATAGCTGGGTGTGGTAGTGCACACCTGTAGACCCAGCTACTCATGAGGCTGAGGCAAGAGAATCGCTTGAACCTGGGAGGTGGAGACTGCAGTCAGCAGAGATCATACCACTGCACTCCAGCCTGGCAACACAACAAGACTGTCTCAAAAAAAAAAAAAAAAAAAAAAAAAAAAGTAGTAAAGTACTTGTTGAAGAGCCTGGTACAAAATAGTCACTTGGGTAGTTACTACCAATAAACAGCTGTGAGATGACAGTCACACCCCAGTAAAGATTATTTCTTGGATTCTCCCACATTCTTCATTCTCCACCTCCTGAGATTAGAACAGGAGAGAAAAACCTGAGACCACAAAAAGAAGTGATCAAGAAACAAACGGCAGCAGTGGTTATCACTGCAGTTCCTATGAACTGCTTTAAGTCAGCAATGAGGCATTTTTATTTTGTATTGCATTACTCCCATAAAGTTAAACCTCAAGTAACTAGAACCTTTGTTCCAAAATGGTGTTTACAGTCGGGCACTGTGGCTCATGCCTGTAATCCCAGAACTCTGGTGAGGCTGAGGCGGGGGGATCACCTGAGGTCAGGAGTTTGAGACCAGCCTGGCCAACATGGTGAAACCCTGTCTCTACTAAAAATGCAAAATTTAGCAGGACGTGGTGGTGAGCACCTGTAATCCCAGCTACTCCAGACGCTGAGGCAGGAGAACTGCCTGAACTCA